CTGGTTTTAATTATTTTTATTAACTTTTCATAATCTTTTCCAGTTAAATGTGGGAAATAGTTTTAATGTGTGTATAGCATAGAGACAGAAAATTATCTGCGTAGATCTGCTCACCCTGCCTAGTCGGAGCCTCTTCATACACAGTCAGTGTGACATGGAAAAATATCGGATCGGAGATTAAAAAGTCGTACGCTGACGGTGTGTTCAGGCCTTTACTGCGGCACAATCAAGCATCTGGGACCAATATTGAACTAAATTTTAAAGCGATGTTCCTGGATAAATAATCAAGCTTTATAAAAAGGTTTCTATAAAGCCTATTTGTTTCAGGGATTGAAAGATTATTTTTTTAATTTTTTTTTAGGCTGATACCAATGAATTTGACAGCAGAATAACCGATCCCCGATATGTGCTGCCAATATTTTTCACCAATTTTTGTCTTTTTCTTCCTCCATTTACATAAAAACTTATGGCACAATGATAATAAATGTAAAGCTAATCCCTTATTTTTGTCTCTCTCACCGTCCGCATCAAACAACATCTTAGATTTATTCATCAAGACGGGTCAGTTCAGTTTTTGGTGTCTTCAGGGAAACTCAGGCGTGTCTTTCTGGTGTTCACAGGTTGAACGAAGCCCCAGTAAGCGGCTACAAGAGAGACGTTGGGACCAAAACTACGATGAGGATCACCTACCCAGAGGGCGCCATCCAGAAACCTGACAGCTACGAAAAAGACTCGCTCTTCGTCTTTTCTGCTTTCAAACCGCTTGATTTCAAGTGGCTCAGACAGATGGTCTTCAAGGAAAGGCTGGTAAGAAAAATGCTGCAGTTTAAAAGGGGAGATGAAGGTGAAAATTGTCCTAAAATGGACCTTGCTTGATCTTTCTTTTCTGCGCTCCTGGCTAGCTTTCCTCGCAGGCATAGATTGTGTCCTACTCTAGTGTGGATCTTTTTCTGTGCGCTCATGTCAATTAATGTCACTTCTAAGGTTGGAACCAACCAGAGAAAGTAAACTGCCTGTGGTTAGCTACTTCCCAGGAAATCCCGCCCCCTCATACAGTATTTGTGGTTAGTTTCACTACCCGATCCGTCCCGGAAGCACGATCCGTCCCGGGCATGCGCCATCGGCTCATTTTCGCATCCGGATATACATCCTGGTCGCCCTCGATTTATACTCTGTTAAAAAGACCTAAAATATGTTTTTTTCCTCCCCAAAATAGTAAGCGTACTAAAATATAGATTAATAAAATATTTCCTGAGAAAATATATGCCTTAAAATCCTTTCTGTTTCATTACTAGGCTCTGCAACGGAAATGGGAACTTTTTCAGCTTTGGATTTATGTTTTCCTTTCGTAACATTATGGCATATAGTGTGTAATCTCTAGAAAGAAGTAACTAAAATGGAGATAAACATTGTTTTAGCTGACTGCTCTGAGCATGTCCCATGATTACATCAGTTTAACAAAGAAATGTAAAAAGCATCAAAACTGTCTCACAGAAGTCCAAACCTTTTTTAAAGATGTGTATTAGCATTCTTTAGTGAGTTAAGATTAGAAAAAAGTAATTTTAGTACAATGATATGATTTATGGACACCTGGATGTTTATCTGTTCGTGTATGCGTAGGACGGATCGGGTCGACACAGCTAGCAATGTTAGCAAAGCATCTTCTGGCTAATAGCTCATCTATTAAAGAGTTCAAAAATGCTTAATTGAATCATCAAACAATTTAGTTTAACTCAGTCATTAATGTTTTCTGAAAGCAGTAAAAATATGCTATAAAATTATTTATGTTAAATTTGGAAGTTGGTATGAGCTAAGCTAATGTTAGCTT